CTGGGTCGTGCTCTGGCACGTGGTGTTGCTCTGGAGGGCGACGTGCAGAAGAAACCCTGGAGCGAGAGAAAGGTGACGCACTTGCTCCTGCTGTGCCAGGGCGGCTCGGGGAAGACGCACGTCGTGCAGAAGATCGTCTTCCCAGTGGTGGAATACGTATGGCCCTCGCCGGCGCCGGACAGGGCCAGCATGATGGTCGTGAAGAATATCTCCACCGAGACTGTCAAAGCCAGAACGCTGCACAATGCCTGTGCCATGCGAGTTCAGAAGTGCGACGCTGCGGCCAGGGGGCATACAGAAGAGGCTGAAGTGGTTGTGGGAGCACGTCCGCGTTCGTGCCATCGAGGAGATAAGCATGGTGGCAGCCGCGCTGTACAACGCGCTGGACCATCGCGCCTGCCACGGACGCAGTGACACGCACGACGTGCAGGATTCGAACTGCCAGCGGCCACACCACCACTTCGGGCGCGTGTCCACCGTGTTACACCTCGGCGATTTCCTGCAGCTGAAGCCCGCCGGCAGCATTGGCCTCCTGACGGACGTGAACGAGCGCCTGGACGACGACGAGTCGTACAGGTGCGCGGACCCGCCGACGGTGGAGATCCAGCGCGCCATCAAGGTCTTCTTTCAGATCCCCTGCGTCTTCGAATTGAAGGGCACGAAGCTCTTCGAGCCTGGGGACCCGCTGATCACGTTCCTGGGCTGCATGCGCGAGGGCAAGCCCTCCCCGCCGGAGGTCTGGTCCGCCTGGGAGAAGACGTTGGCCGCGGACATCCGCGGCGTCCTGGGCCCTCGGCACCAGCGCGAGAACTTTCGGCTCGGCTACGGCGTGGGCATCTACTGGGAAACGCTTGCGAGGTGGATGAACACGCGGGCTCGTCGCGACGCTCGGCGTCTGGGCGTGCCCCTCGTTTTCCTGCAGGCTGTTGACGAGTGCGGCGCGATTCAGGGCGATCCCGACGCGGGTCGACGCTTCCTGAACGTCCCGAACATGCACGCGACGGGGGACATCCGCGGCGCCCTGCCAGCCCACGTCGGCATGGAGGTGTGGTTCACGGCAGCGCAGGAAGAGCTGAAGAAGAAGTTGGGGCTCGTGCAGGAGCGACGGGCCACCGTCGTTTCTTTCGAGTTCCACCGCGAGGACGAGCAGCGGCGCGAAGAGTGCTCGGCAGGCCAGCTCTTTCGCCCCCGCTTCCTACCGCAGGGGCTCTGGCTGCAGGTGCACGGCTTCGAGGAGTCTCCGATCTACCAGGAGGTCGCCGAGGTGCTGCGACAGGGCGCCGAAGACGCCGACGGCGACGGCCAGGCCCAGGCGCGGGCGCGGAGCTTGCCGATGTTCAGGCCCAGCGAAAGGGAGTTCACATGGTAGAGCTCGGGGGCGCACAGCGTGCGCCGCTCGGGGTTCACCCTGGCGCGCGCGCCCTACCTGACCTCCACGCCGTCGCAGGGCCATGCGCCGCGCAAGGGCGTCACCGTCGACTGCGCGAGAGACGAGGACGCTGGCCGCACCGGCATGTCGGACGAGCAGTGGCGGCTGCGCCTCTACGTCGTGCTCTCCCGCGCCACGTGCATGCGGAACGCGCTGATCCTGCGGCCGCCTCCGCGGGAGTTCCTGGAGCGAGGGCCGCCGGCGTCCCTGCGGAAGGCGCTCCTAGAGTTCGACAATGGAGCGGTTTTGTTCAGTGCGGAGGCGAATCAGCTCGCGGCAGAGCTGGGCTTCGCGCTGCCCGCCTGAGCGCGGCTGCGCCCCGCTCGAAGCCCGCGGGCTTGTCCCAGCGGCTTGGTCTTGCGCGCAAGCGGCTCGCGGGGTTGCCCCGACAGCCTGGCCCGCGGGGTTGCCCCACTGGCTGCGCGACGTGGCCGTGAGAGAATGCGCCTGTGCTGGCCGACGCGGCGACGGCGCCGAGGAAATCCGACGCGCGCGCTCGTGCAATGGAAAGGCGAGGAGGTGGCGGGGCGCGAAAAAAAACAGGAGGGCGAGGTCGGGGGCAACGTAGGGAGCGGGGGGGGGCCGCGCCAGGGCGAGAAGAAATATACGCAGAAGAGACAGCCAGGACGCCTCACCAACCGCGAGGACGACGGTGAGGTTTTTTTCCAGATTCGCCCAGGGGATTCTCATGTGGGGTCCTTCCGTCGGAGTAAATCTTACATTCGTTTTACTCGCATCATGTTCCGCTCGTTTCACACATAATTCCCTGCACCTGCGTTTCATACATCGTTCCATCTCGTTTGCATTTCAAAGGCGATTATTTCACGAATCATGTTTGGCTCGTTGACAGTTCATATGCTGCACATTTCTTGGATCCACGTTTCCTGCTGTTCATTTGCCCATAGTAGTGCTTCTATTTTAATGTTTGCTGCTATTGCGACTACTGCCACTACGACGACGACGACTACGACTAAGACTACGAATGCTACCACTACTACTACTACTACTAGTACTACCACCACTACTACTACTACTACTACTACTACTACTACTACTACTACTACTACTACTACTACTACTACTACTACTACTACTACTACTACTACTACTACTACTACTACTACTACTACTACTACTACTACTACTACTACTACTACTACTTACTACTACTACTACTACTACTACTTACTACTACTACTACTTACTACTACTACTACTACTACTACTTACTACTACTACTACTACTACAACTACTACTACTACTACTACTACTACTACTACTGTTATTATCCCTACCACTGGCAGTACGACTTCTAGGAATACTACGACTACTACTATCATTGATCTTATCACTATACTATACTACTGCTACTACCACTACTACTACTACTACTACTACTACTCCTATTCGTGCTACTTGTATTATTACTACTTCCACTACGACTACCACGACAACGAACACCTAGCAACTGATACTATTATTGTTTTTCAGTACTACCACCATTATTTTCATTATTATTATTACTCTTACGATTACTACTACTACCACCAGTCCTTCTACGACTCTAACTACTGCTACTACTACTACTAGTAATAGTACTACGACTGCTGCTACCACTACTCTCTCTGTCTCTCTACTACTACTACTACTACTACTACTACTACGACGACGACGACGACGACGACGACGACGACGACGACGACGACGACGACGACGACGACGACGACGACGACTACTACTACTACTACTACTACTATTACTACTACTATTACTACTACTACTACTACTACTAAGTCTACTACCGCTACTATTGCTACTACTACTACTACTACTACTGCTATTTCTACTAGTACTACTCTCACTACTAGTTACATTACGCGTACACTACTACGACCATTAGTTTTTACTACTACTACTACTACTACTACTACTTTTGCTGTAATCACTGCTACTACTACTACTACTACTTTTGCTCATACTGCTACTACTACTACTACTGCTGCCGCTGCTGCTGCTACTATTTCTACTACTACTACTACTACTACCACCACTACTACTACGACTACGACTACGACTACTACTACTACTACTACTACCACTACTGCTACTACTACTACTACTACTACTACTACTATAACAACAGCAACAACAACAACAACAACAACTACTACTACTACTACTACTACTACTATGACGACTACTACAATTACAAGCGCTGCGACTACGACTACTACGACGACGACGAACACTACTACTTCTACTCTTACTGCTATTACTACTACTATCATGATCAGTATTATTATTATTACTACTACTACTACTTCGATGTTTTGAGTACTACTATTTCGACTCCCATTACAACGCGCACCGACTGATCCATTTCCCTGTGACTTTGTTGGGGCTGTGCCTGGTTGCATATATGCCTGGCTTTCAGTCCTTTCCAGGACGACACCGTTGGAAACAGGAGGAGGAGGAAGAGGAACAGGAGGAGGAGGAGGAGCAGGCGGAGGAGGAGGAGAATGAGGAGGACGAGGGGGAGCAGGACTAATAACAAGCGGAATGCGAATGTATTAATCACAAGATTCGTATTCAGAGTAAGAAGAATAGTAAGACGACTCATGCACATCATAATGTTAATAGTACTTGTATTAGAGGTAATGGTAAGACGAATACGCATACTACCACTACTATCAGTCTTATTATTTGGTAATACTATTCACCCTCGTAATATTATTATGCAAATTCATAAGACTATTGAGAAGCGAAATGAGCAGACGGAACTGACGAGAAGACTAACAGTACGAAAAGAAATGATATTACGAAGAGACGACGAGTAATATTATCATTGTTATTGTAAGTAAGAACAAGACCAACAACAGTATCAACACTAACAATACTCTTGATACAAGCAATATCTAAACACCAGCAAATGGTACTACTAATGCTATTAGGAGCAGTACTACTAGCAACACTAAGTACATTCATAAGGCCAGTACTTCTAAGACTAGTCAGTTTAATAATTATACGAATGATACGAAGAGCAGCGCCAGTATTAGTATTAGCCGAACTAATACGGATGATATCAATGCTACACTTAAGAAGATACTCTTACTAATGCTACTACTAAGAAGAAGAGGAAAAGCAGGACAAGGAGGAGGAAAAAGAGGAGGAGGAGGTGGAGGAGGAGGTGGAGGAGGAAAATGAGGTGGGACGCTGGTGCGCAAGGTCTTGCCGAAGGATAGAGCGAGAGAGGGATGGAGGGAGGGAGTGAGGAATGAATGGGAGGATGGAGGGAAAGAGGCAGGTGGAGGAGGAGGATGATGAGCAGGAGCAGCAGCACGATAATGAAAAGAGGAGTGGAGGAGGAGGGGGAGGAGGAGGAGGAGGAGGAGGAGGAGGAGGAGGAGAAGGAGGAGGAAGACGAGGAGCAGTAGCAGGAGGAAGAGGAGAAGGAGGAGGAGGAGGACGAGTTGGAGGAGGAGAAGGAGAAGGATGAGGAGGGGGAGGAGGAGTCAAGCTAACCAGCTCGAGCGATCCAGTGTGCCCGCCCACTCCCGCCTCCTCCCATAGGAGCCAGACTCGCGCGCGTTCCCACCCTGCGAACGGCAGGCGCTCGGGCGGGGCCGCGCTCTCGACGACGTGGCGACGGAAGCAACATGGGCCGCGCGCCGGCATGTGCGAAATTCTCTGGAAGTCTGTGCGCTGCGCTTTGGCGATGGCACCAGTGAGTCCTCGCGGGCGCGGGGGAGTGGCTGAGACAAGGCGTGCGCCTTGCCGAGGCAGGAGCGCCGCTGTCCGGCGAAGCCTGCGCGGCGCATGGGCGAGAGCGGCATTCGGCCCGCTCGCGTGCGGCCCCAGTTCCTGCAACGGGGCGAGCGAATCCTCTTTTTCTTCTCCTTCCTTTCCTTCTTCCTCCTCTTCATCCTCCTCCTCCTCCTTGTACTCCTCCTCCCCCTCCTCCTCCTCCTCCTCGTCCTCTTCCCCTTTCTTCTCCTCCTCCGTGCAATTTTTCGGGCCCTCGAAAATGAGGCCGGTTGCAAGTACGGCAACGGCTTCAGTGCTTCGATGTGTTGGGCACTTCGTTGAATTTTAAACGTTTTTCGCCCAAACGAAAGGGATGCATACGCACCCTGGTCTGCCAGGGCCTCTGGCCTTTGAATCGTGCTAAGCTCCTCGGATACGATGTTGTGGATCGGTGCGTCCTGTGCGGTGCCGACGGTGACACCGTCCTTCACCGCTTGTGGCACTGTCCAGCCTGCGAGGACGATCTGTCGGAGCTGGTTAAGCCAGCCTTGCTGTCACGTATCCGCAGGGAGCTCGAGGCTGAAACGATCCCTGGTTTCAGAGTCCTGTGCGAAACGGGTCTGTTCCCTCACCCGTCCTCCGGGGCTTCCCCCCCTGTCGGCCCAGGAATCACAGGACAAGGTTTTCTTCGAAGTTTTTCCAGATGCCTATGAGGCTGCGGGGCTCCCCCCGCCAGCTATAGGCCCAGGGGCTTTAAAGGAGATTCGAGGTAAGACCTTCCTGGATGGCTCGTGTTTCCCGCATGCAGTTCGAGACCTATCTAGATCGGGGTGGGGCACCATTTGTCTCAGCCCCCTCGGACATATCCTTGTTAGAATGTTCGGCACAGTGTCCAATGTGTATCCGCAGACCAGTGTTTCTGCAGAAAACGTCGCGTCCGCCGCCACCGCGTCGATTCTTGCAGGTCCGTCGGAGCTGATATCCGATTGCAAAGCAGTAGTAGATCATTTTTCCTTGCCGCTGTGCCAGCAGCTATCTCCGAAAAGGCCCTACAGTGGGCTCGTGCTGCAGACTCGTGCCAGTGCAACCAATCATATAGAGAGGGTCTCCAACGTGAAGGCCCACCTCATTGAAGATCCCAGCCTCGACGTGGATGCTCGTCTCCTAACTCGTGGCAATAATCTGGCTGACGAAGCGACCAAAGCAGGTGCGCAGCTCCACCCCTCTCTACCGTCGCAACTTGCTGATGATATCATTTTTTCTGTGCAAGTTTCAAAGGCTGTCGCCAAGCTTGCCGCCCATCTCCTGGACCGCTGGCCCCGAACCAACCTGGACGGGGTCCCGTGGGAGCGTCCTTCGCCCGTGGGTCTTCCAAGGGACCAGCCTCCTGGACACTCCTGGGGTTGGGTTGGCAAGTTCTGGCAGTGTAGTGAGTGCCTGAAGAGCTCTCGCTCCTCTTCCAGGCCGCGGTCAGGTAAATACTCTCTTCGGTTGAAGGTCTCGCCCCAGCGCTTGCGAGATCTTGGCCACAGATGCATCGTTGCAGACTGCGGCGATGGCAGTTTTGTTTGTTTTTGTCAGCTGTGCTTCTTTCGCACCACCTGTGGACAGCTGCGTGGCTTGGGGGACCCTTGTCAGGCCTGTCCCTCGGCCCTCCCTCCTGCGCGAGTTGATGGAGGCCCTTCTGTAAACAGCTGGGCCTCTCACGACTCGCGCAGGAAAGAACTCTGGTCCAGACTCTGCAAATGACTCCATCCCAAAAAGCCTGGGGTCACAGTAGATCTGGACGGCATTGGAGTCCTTTAAACTCCGATGCAACAGCCCGCCTGACGGGCCCATGGCAGTGGATGTCAAACAAAAATCCCCCTCCTCCTCCTCCTCCTTCTCCTCCTCCTCCTCCTCCTTCTCCTCCTCCTCCTCCTCCTTGTGCCGCGCCGACGCGGGAGCTCCACTGGCAGGCGGCATCTGCGGGGCGACCAGGCGAGCGCGGTGCCCTCGCCCGCTCGTGCGTGGCCCCAGGTCCGACGAGCTGGCGGGCGGAGCAGGTGCGCCGGGACCAGGCGGGAGCGCACTTCTCCGGAGGGAAGCGCGGGGCTCGGGTATAGGGGAACAAAAAGTGGCACAAATATAAAAGCGCGGAGGTCCGCGCGGATTTCACGGATCGGCGCTGGGACCCCCCTGGCGGCGCCTCCTGCGCCGCCCCTTGCGCGCTCCGCGCGCCAGGGAGGGGGGTCCAGCGCCGATCCGAGAAATCCGCGTGGACCTCCGAGTTTTAATGTTTATGTCATTTTTCGTTCCCCTATTGAGGGAAGCGTGAGGCCCGAGTAGGCCCGAACTCGGGTGTGCCGGCTTTCTTTGGACGAGCGCGCCCCGGATTTTGACGGTCCCGTTTTCGTTGGACGTCTGCAGCGGGAGCCTTGCGTCAAATTTCGCATGGGGTCTCGTCATTTTTCTGATGGCCCCCGTCAGGCCAATCCCCGATTTCTGAACGAGAAGTACGGCGCTTGAGCGAGAACGACATTTCGCCCCTTCCTTGCGAGGTGTGCCGAGCATTACGGTCGTTTCTCGTTCTGTATCGACGGCCACATGTCCCTGCTGAAAGGGTATACATCTACGTTCTATTGCTTTTCGATTGGAAGGAGGGGGTTACCCGCTTCGGCGGGCTAACTAGGCCAGCAATCGGGCGACCAGGTGCCAGATCGGGAGTATAAATGTAGTCATGCAGAACAAGGGTCGTAAATGGAACGCAAACTAAAATGGTGGATGGGGAAGAGAAGCGCTCGTCGTCGTCGTCGTCGTCGTCGTCGTCGTCATCCTTGCCCTCGTCCTCGATGTTATCGTGGGCAATGACAACCAAGATTGCTCAATGCCACTCGCTGGTTTGCTGTTGGTCGTCGAGGGCATTGCTCACAATCTTGCAAGCGTGCGCGTGCCATTCAGTTTGCAGCGGAAAGGGGTGATTGAGCCAACGCGCTTTTCATCACTACCTCGAGGTGAGACCTTGTTCTGCTTGTGCAGGGGCGATCTTGGGGTCTCTTTGGGCCACCTTCTCTGTTCTTGCGGCCATCTTGGCCTTGGAGTCCGTCTTGCGTTCCCCGAGGGGGGAGGTGAGGTCCATGCGGCACGCGGCGACATGTGCCGAAGGGCTTGTGAGGCGCTTTCGGAGAGGACTCGAAGGCTCGGAACTCTTGGCACGCCTTGCGCCCGCGTGTTTGACCGACAGGAGGTGGCGGATCTGGTGGCCTGCAAGCTATTATCGGTTCATTTTTGTAGATTTATGCTCAATGCTATTTGTGATCGTTCTGCCGTCGTGCTGTCCTGCAGCCTTCGGGGGTAACAGAAGCTCGTTCTCATGGAAGTGTAGCTGCGGGTGGAACACGGTTTGGCGTGGTCTTTTAATTAGGTACCAGCGGGGAAGCATGTTTGCATAGCTGACCTTTTCCCAATTGCACGACGTTCTTGTTCAGGCCGTAATGTGCTCATTCGAATCGCTCTTGCCGTGTCACGAACCAGACATTTCTAATCGCGTTTCAAAGCCACTTCGTAGAACTACTATGGCAGGTGGCATCCAACTGGATCGACACTGAAAGCATCGAACTAGTCGTCTGGGCCCGTATCCTTGCCGTCATGAGCACCCCAGAACTCACGAGAGTCGGCTTAGACTTTTTTTTTCGACGAACGAATGGTGTAAACCTGAGCAGAGACCTGTTGCGATTGAAACGAGACGTCGTCTGTTTGTCGGCGAGCGGTTCTCAAGAGTGGATGGTCCAGTGTCTATGCGGTACTCTTCTGGATCATGTTCGCACCCTCGTGCCTGGCTGATTTCTGGTCGCGTTTCACCTCTGCCACTGCCGCCGCTACCCCCTTGTCAAGGCCACCGACCCGGGCGACGGCGACAGCGACAGTGGCGGTGGCCAGTGCGTCCAAGGCTGGCGGCGTGCATCGCCAGACCGCCAGGAGTTCAACATCCTCTGAAGTGGATGGTGAACAGTAGCCCCAGCAGCAGGCAGTGGAGACTAACCGAAGGGCCCGCCGACGGGGGGAGTAACATTGGACCGCACAGGCACGACAAGCGAGGGATGCACCTGTGCGAGTGGAAAGCTGACTCGGGTGAGCTGGCCCGAAGGCGCTTCGAAGTGCATCGCAGCATGTGAAGCCGAAACCAGAGCCAGAACTGGGGTGTACAGAAATTGGAAGGTTCCGCCCAGCAGGCTCGATACAACAACGCGTCGATGGGCGGTGCTGCAGTTGCCCCTGGGTCCCACCCGCCCCAGAGCAGCAACCTGACAAACCAGGCTTGTATCTTCACGCTTTTCTGAAGTCTGGACGCGTTTCTTTGATTAGCGTTCGTGCCGTCGCCGCCTCCTTCTCAGGGTCACCGATTCGGGCAACGGCGACAGCGACAGTGGCGCTGGCCGACGCGTCCAATCCCGTCGGCGTGGAAGGCCAGGCTGCGGCGGGGAAGTGGCAACACCCGCAGCAGGGAGTGGAGAAACGACCGACGGAGAGAGCAACAGCAGACGACGCGGGCACGAGTAACGAGGGAGGCACCCGTGCGAACAGGCAACTCACGGTGAGGTGGACGGGGAGGGGCGCGGGTGGTCGTGGCTGAACGCCCGATGGCGATGCTGACTGAGCGGCTGGAACTGAAACAACATCGAAGACGAACGCGGCGCGACGATGAAGATCCCGAAAATAAGGACGTCCTTGAACAACATGTGCGACGACAATAACGACGTGGCGAATGCGAGCCAGGCGACGGCCCGAATGCGGATCCCGGCGCGGGCGCAGCTGCAGCCGGAGCTCGGGCAGGAGGGCCCCCCCTCAAGGTTCGGTGGGGGACCTGCAGTTGGAAAGTTCAGACATCGACACAGAACGCGCAACGCGTGTTTACGATTGAACCGCATCATACATTACAGCCGACGCGAGTTGTAACTAGACGCGGTCTGCCAAGGGTGCCGTTGCGTCATTGCGTGCCCGGCCAGTACTTAGCAGGTTCCGCTGGCCAGCATTCAGGATACCTTTTAGGGGGGTCGGCGTCCTTAGGGTGCGCGGCGCGGCGCGGCGCGACGCTCCTGTGGGGAATGGCCCCAAACATGCGGACCAGGCAGGGTGCCCTTGCCCGTTCTTGGGCGCGTCGTCCCCGATTTCAGCCATCTTTGGATTCGCGGGCGGACGCGTCCTTGAGCACGTGGGCCAGGCGGGGCTCCAGTGGCCGTCGATGGGCGCGTCGTCCCTGTGATCGGCCGTCCTCACATGCGCGGGCCAACGTGGCCCCAAAAGCGCGGACCAGGCAGGGTTTCTTGGCCGTCTTTGGGCTCGTCGTCCCCGCCCTCTGCCCCACTCTCGGGCGGACGTGGCCCGGAAGATGCGGGCCAGGCGTGCTGCGTTTCTACGCACGCGCTGGGGTGAGGTCTGTGCGGTCTCCCCCCGCAGTGTGCGCCGCGTCGCCGAAGCGAGCATGTGCTTTGCGGGATTGGCGGCGCCATGTCCAAATTGGCGCGCGGATTTTGAGGGTGCCCTTGGGTCCTTGCGTTGTTTTTGGTTTATGGTCCCGACGCTCATTCGGCAAGGACAAGGGTCGATTAAGGTATCTTTGCGTTCTTGGGGTTTCGGCCGTTCGCCGCCCAAAAATCGGGCTTGGGCGTCCACGGTCGTTGCGCCTTTGCCGCTCGCCTTTGCCATCGTCGGCGCTGCAATTGGGGCTGGTTATGGGATCAGTATCTTCAGGTCGTCGTCGAAATCTGAAGGCATGGATGTACTTGCCCTCCTCAGGTTTTGGTTCAGCACGGGAGCCCGTTGCAGCCATGAATCTTGCAGTCCTGCGTGGGTCGTGTAACCTGTGCTGTCCTGCCAGCAGCGCTGTCCCAGCCGCCGCAGCTGTGTTCACCAAGGCTGTGCGGGCGTTGAGCTCAACAAATCCCTGCGAGTGCTCTTCTCATTGTGGGAGGCGCCCTCCTGGGAGACAACAGCCCGATGGGCTTTCCATTCGGGCGGTAGCCCCGCTCGGGAGCAAAAGGGGCCGCCTTCAGTCTGTGTAGTTCGGGGCGAAGGTCCGTGGCATTCGGAGGGGGGCTCACCCCGCCAGTTGTGTGCGTGTTCGATTTTTTCAATGCAGAGCGGCCCAGCGCAACAGCGATAACCGCATCTTGGACATTGCCCACCCTGCCTCCGTGGAGCCGTTGCGTTCTTCGAATCTCAGGGTCAAATTTGGGTGGCGGCCCTTCACGTGACCGCGCCGCCTTGCCAACACGTCAGGCTTTGCGACGAAGAGGCCTCATCGATAAGGGAATTATGAAACAACAGGACGTGCAGGAAGGGGAATATGGAGGAGGAAAGGGAGGATTACGCCCCCCCTCGCCTGAAGGAGGAGGAGGAGGACGACGAGGAAAAGGGAAGGGCAGGCGGATGAGGAAACACATGATACGGGCAGGAGGTGGGGAAGGAAGGGGAGGAACCACATACTTAGGCGGGTGATGATGGTGATGACGACCTTGATCATGATGCTGGCGGTGGTGATGGTGATGACGATGATGACGATGATGGTGGTCGTGTTCAGGAGGAGAAGGAGGAGCAGGAGGATGAGGAGGAAGAGGAGCCTCTCTTCCCCTTCTCAAGGGGCGGACTGGGGGCCAGCGAGTGGGACCTCCCTGCCGGGTGGGCCGAGGACCTCGTCCACGCCCTGCTTCTCGTCCGCGCGGACGCCAGCGTCCTGGACAGGAGCCCTTCCCCCCTTCCCTCTCTGCTCCGCCCTCTTGCTCGGGGTGGGGGAGGACAACTGCCAGGGCAAGCCCGAAGTGCATCCGCGCCGTACAGTCAACGCGCCCAGTGAGGACGCGCGCCTTCATCCAGGGTGGCCTTGTGTCCTTGCCTCTGCGGCCCGCCCTGTGCCGTTCTCACTGGTCGCCCGCCGCCCAAAAAGTCCCGACTTCGGCCTCCAAGCGTCTTGCGTCTTTGCCGCCCGTCCCAATACGCGTTTTGACTGTAGCGCGCCCTCCCGTCCCTGCCCCCCTCCGCCCCAGAAGTCCACGCAGGTGTTCCCGTCGATGCGGGGAGGAAGACGAGACCCCCATGGCCCCGCCATTGAAACGAGAGAACCCCGCTCCGAGAGAAGTACTCGCCCTCCATCCAGAAGTGTGGAGGGGGGCGATGGGTCAGTTGTGGAAACCAGCCGCCTAAATCCGTGTAGTTGTTCGGCGCGGGAAAAGTCGCAATGCCGTAGCCCGGGTTGCTCGACGCGCGAGCGGATCGCCTCTGCCGCGCCGCGACGCAAAAAGTGTAATTGTTCGGCGCGTTTGAGTTCCCGGTCGGAGCATCGGCCTCGTGTGAAGATCGGTTTGATTTCCATTTCTGGCAGGATGTTGCGTGCGCGGCTTGACACAAACGGGAGAGACGGGCTTGCAGCAACGCTTTCCCACCTCCGCAGCCATTTGCGTCAGAGGCCCCACTCCGGGCCGTGCTAGCAGCACGCTGCGCACTGTGCGCCAGCGTTGAGTCGAGTCTAGGAAAAGAAACGTCATTGTGAGTTGCTAGTTCTCGATGGAGAGCCTGAGGTAGAAAAGGAACTGCCCTCGCCCGTGCAGTTGTTTGTTGCACGCGTTCAAGCGCCGCGTGGCTAGATAGGAGGAAGTCTCAAGCAATGTCTGATCTGATTGTGGTAACGCCCTCCATCTTTGTAATTGTTGGGGTTTTCTAGGTCTCGCGCTGTGATGTGTGAGAGCGTCTCACGAGATAACCTAGTGTTTAATTTTGATAGGCAGATCTCATATTAGATATTTGCGACCGCTGCAGACTTAAGACGGATGGGCTCGGCGCTACGGCATGAGAGCCGCATTTTGAAAACGGGCCACAATCCATCCGTGCAATTGCTCGAAGTATCTGATGCGAGTCTCGATTGTCGCGAAGACTCGGAGTCTGCACCCGCCCGTCGATCTGGTTCAACGGTTGCCGGACGATTCTGCCCGTCGCCAAGGCGAACGAGATTTTTTTGCGTCGGCGGCTAGCCAGGGAATGTCTGCACTGGCGAATGGATCAGGCCTGCACGGGGATGCCGTCAGAGCGAACTGTGCCGCCACGCAGGAGGAGGAGCGGGAGGAGAGCGCGGCTGAAAGAGGAAGGCGAACGAGAACAGCATGCTGAGCTTTTTGGCCTTCCGCCCGTGCCGCGGTGGAGGAGGAGGAGGAGGAGGAGGGAGGAGGAGGAGGAGGAGGAGGAGGAGGAGGAGGGAGGAGGAGGAGGAGGAGAGGAGGGAGGAGGAGGAGGAGGAGGAGGAGGGAGGAGGAGGAGGAGGAGGAGGAGGAGGAGGAGCTTTCCAGTGGCTTGGCTGCACATTCTCTGTGCGACAATCCTCTCGGATCGCCTCCCGGGCCGCCTCGCCTCGCCCCCCCCCGCGGGCCTCGCCACGCCTCTGCGAGCAGCCGGGAGGCCGAGGCGCCACCGCACGGGCGGGAATCGGAGGCCGGAGGCCAGAGGCCGGAGGCCGGGAGGCCGGCAGGCCGAGGCGCCATCCCAAGGGCCACTTCGCCTCGCCTCGCCAGGGTGCACCGCCGCACCCTACTCAGGAGGGGAAAAAACACAGACACAATTGATCGCCCACTCCCAGGAAAATAGGAAAATATGGGAAGTGGGGGGGAAGACAAAAACCCAGAACATATGGAAACATATGGTGAGTCCTTCTATTTGTGTGTACTTTTTTGTGTGTCTCAGGGTCTCCAAAGGGCAGGCAGGCCGCCGCCACTGGCCGCACCCAGAGCGGCATCGAGGCGGTCAACAAGCGCCTCGACCTGAGCCAGGCGACGGGACACGGGGCGCGGCGGCGGGCTCGGTGTCCGCCCGCTCCCGCGGTGGCGCAAGACAAATGGCTGGCTTTGCGCCGACTTTTGGGAAGTCAGACTTTCGACTGCATGGGCGTGAGTGGTTTCATCGTCATGGTCGTCGTGCGACTCCTCCCAGCCGAGGCTGGGCCGGGCCGTGCTGACCGCTCTGGCATGCGTTCCTCACGGTATTACCCGAACAGTTTGCCGCCGTCTTCGACGCCAGGTTCGCCATCTTTGTCTTCATTTTTGATGCGCTTGCCCTCTGCCTCCAGTTTGTCGCCGACTTCAACTTCATCGATGCCGACCTCTCGTGATGCAGCGCCGCTTGACTGCAGCATTTGTCCTTCGAGTTTGTCCTCTGCTTATTCGCCGGCCGCAGGGGGGACGCCCGTGACCAACGCCGACCCGTTGCTGCCGCAGATCGCACCGTTATTCTTCCCCGAGGACGCCGTCTGCCTGAACGAGTTCGCATGCGCTGGCCGCCATGACGCTCGTCCGATTGACATCTGTCACCACGGCTTCGACGGGCCCTCGGCGAGGCCCCAGGCACCGCTGTTCCAACTGGTCGGCTCTCTGCTCCTGCACCTCCCTGCGCGTCCCCATTCTCGTCGCCTTGGGAAGCCTCGAGGTGGCCTGATGCTGGGTACCAGGAATGCTCAGGCATTGCTTGCTTCCGCCCCGGCGCGGGGGTGCGCAGAAAACGGAGCACACTTGCGCAGCCTCCTGGCTCACCTGGGTGTCCTCTTAGTCGCCAAGGCCCGTGGCACGGCGGGCGACCGCGCCGTGAGGCGTGCTCCGCCGGGCTGCACAGGCTGGCGGACGCCTGGCCCGACGGCAGGGCATGCAGGAGTGGGCACGCAGTGGAGCATCCTGGGGATCTCGGCATCCCGAGGCTCGCCCATCTCTCGAAGCAGCGAGGCGGCAGGTTGGCTGCGCTCTGGGGCGCGATCTGGCCGCCCGCCCGTCCGCGGACGCGCTGGGGGACCGCCTCGGAGGGCGCTCCGCTCACTTTGGGCCCTCGAGCGCGGCTGGGCCAGGGGAGGTGTCGAGCCGCCTGCGCCGCTGCCCCCCGCGTCCGGGGGTTGGTCTCCGACCCGTGCGACTTTGAGGGTGATGTCGCCGCGAAGCTCACGCAGATGCGGGGGCGCGCCGCCGAGCTCGCAAGGGGCCATGCCCCAGACGAGCGGGCCTCGCTGGCGGCAGTGGGCTTCAAACTGCCCAGGCGTGCTCCTGCAACGCGCGCCTCATCTTCAGGCTCCGGCCCAGCCGCTTCGCGACGGTGCACCCTGTCATGGGCCAGACCCAAGTGCAGAGGACCACGCCTGCGGATATGGCGGAAGCCCTGCAGCAGCCATGCGGGAAGGTTTTCAAGATCAACGAAATAGACGAGGCACAGCTTGGAATGTGGCTGGAGGACGACGTGGACCGCCGGGTGCTGGATCGTCTGGCCCCGTTTTCGGGCAGGAGCTCCCGCTTCAAAGAAAAACATATCCAGACCGCGATCCGCATGTGCCCTGGCCCAGACACTCCTTATGTGGCGGGAGATTGAGAAGCTCGCGGTGGAGGTGCTGCGCAGAACTTTCAGCGATATCTTCGGCGAGGGCGGAGCCAGCAGATTCGCAGAGTTCGGCCAGAACTTCAATGGTAGCGTGGTTTTCTTCATTCCGAAGGGCCCCTCTGTGAGGACTGCTCAGGACGAGCTCTACAGTGCCCTGGACAAGGTGCGCCGGCTAGGCGTGGCCGACGCGGACAACCGCTTGCTGGCCAACGCAGCGCGGTTGGTCATCGAGGACGCCGTGGACGACATATTTTGCTCCACTCAGAGTGGGTGTCTGCCTGGGCGTTCTATGCCCTGCAGCTTCATGGGCGTCGATAGGGGCATGACAGAGCACGGCCTGGCCAGCGCCGAATCGGTCGCGATGTCTTTCGACATCGAGGCGGCTTATCCGTCAATCGAACACGGCTTCTTGCTTCGTTTGTTCTGCCGCGTCGGTTGGCCTGCGTGCCTGATGCGGTGCGTCGGGGCGCTGTAACAGGGCATCTTCTGCGAGATCGTGATGAATCGTGCGCGCTACTCCAGATTCGAGCTTTCGCGATGGGTGTACCTGGGGTGCCCGCTCTCGCCGTCTGGTCGCCGCCGCGTCGGACCTGCTGTGCCGGCTGCGGCGACTCGCCCCCCGCGGCCCTGGCGACGGCGTGCGCGGGCGATCTTGTCGTGGTGGCGGCTGGGCCTCTGCGAGAGCTTCAGACGCTGCGCCGCTCGTTCGAGGCCGGGCTTTCGAGGTGCAGGTCAACTTTCGCAAGTGCCTCACTGTCCCGCTGCGCCCCTTACGCCGTGCAAGACCTTTGCGCTGCCGTCGCCGCGCGCGCTGGCGCGGGGTGCAATGGCCATCGAGGGTTGGGCGAAATATTTCGGTTTCATTCTAGGCACCAGGGCCGACGAGGACTCCAGGCTGGCGCCGCTGGCGAAGATGGTGGGCAGAGCCGCTACCCGAGGCGCCCTCGGCCCAGGCATCTTCTACGCCTGCCAAGCGTTTCGCACGTTCGTCGCCTCGGTCATTGCGCTCGTCGTCGCGCTGGGCCCTTTGCTGGGCGCCCCCGCGACCGCGGAAACCGAGACCTGTTCGAATCTACCCTCTGGTCTGAGCTATTGGGCCACTCCAGCTCGTGACCCACCCCGAGAGCGTCGGCTTCCCTTGTGAACTGATGGGCGTCGGCGGCACCGCGCTCGCCGCGCAAACCAGGGTTGCCGACAATGGGGATCTCCGACAGGGCGGGCTTCGCGGTCGACTTTAGCATTTCATGCTGAGCGACGCGAGGGTAGTTCTGCCGCTGAGAGTGGATGACTGGCTGAAGTCTGACGCTGTTTTCGTCTTGGGGGCCGTGGAGGAAAACGTCCACGCCGTGGGGCGCCAGCACGAGCCCCCCCCCGCCCGGGCGGCTTCGACAGAGTATGAGCTTCGCGTCAAGTCGACCTGGCAGGCCGCGCGCAATTAGGCGCTGCTGGCGGACAGGCCCCGGGGCCACGTGGACGTTTGGTCCGCCGGAAGCTGGTCCACTGGCTTGTGGGGATGCCCAACGGTTACCACGTGAGACGTTTCCTGGCCCGCATGCAGGAGCTTGGTGCGGCCGCGCCCCCGTGCGTCCTGGCTGCTGTCTTGCCCACTTCCTTCGGGGGTTGACTGTCTGCGGGGCGTGCCCAGCAGCGGGCGCCCTGTGTTTTCGCTTGCGCTTCGGGCAGCGACTGCATCGAACATTGCGCGGGCAGGTGATTTTTTTCTTATCCATTGTTTTGCCGATCGGCGCGGGCCCTCGCCCCCCCCCCCCCCCCCCCGCATGGAATAGACCTTGGCTGTTTTTGGCACATGCCTCAAGCGAGCGGAGTCTCCCTCATAGGACGCACTGTCGTAAACAGCCACATTAAGCAGAGGTCCGGAGTCAGACGCCCCCCTATCCCCCCCTCCTTTCCGCCCATTGTCCAAAGGCCGAATAAGAAAACATTCACCTGCGGTTTTTCCCACAGGTGGTGCGCAAAACGCTGCGTTCTTGCCCGCCCAGCCTCCTCGCGCTGCCCGCAGCATTTCTCGGGCGCCGATGCCTCGATTGGTTCGAGCTCGGCTGGCGGCGCGCGCGCCTGTGTTGAATTGAACTTGCTCCATGCGCGCTGCGTCTACGATCTCTACAGGGCTCGTCTCGCCGTTCGGGATCGCGTCGTCGACATGTCCGGCGCTGGCTCTTTCTTCGCGGTTGCGCTCAAGGAGGCGTGCGAGAACGAACCGCTGAACCGCTTGTGCCAGCTCTCGCGGGCCCCTCTTCCCTTCCCTTCTTATCTGCCCTCCAAGTCTGAATCGTCGTGTTTTCTCGGGCTGACTGGCCAGAGGGGCCGCAATTCAGCCAGGACGCTCGTCGAGGGCGGTGCTCGTCCCCTTCCTCCTCTTTCCTCCTTCCCCTCCCCTCCCTTCCCGCAGACAAGAATAACTGGAAGGATTGGGATAATGACTTCTGCTATCAGACACGGTGGCCAAACTGCCTTAGGTCGCTGCGGTGTCATGCGCCGCATCCCGCGGTGGGACGGGCTCCGCCCGCAGGTTGGTGTGTGTGTCTCTCTCCCTCTCCCTCCCTCCTCCCGCCTCCTCCGGTTGGTGGGTCTGCGAGTCGCGGCGGCCCCAGAAGGCCATTTTTCGGTGACTTGTTTGTCGCGCAGTTGGCCCAGACTGGCCGTCCAGACCATTGCGGCCCGTGCCGGGTGTCCTGCCCCCGCGCGCTCTTGAGGTCCAAGTCGTGCGTGCCCTCTTGTTTTTTGGGCCACGCGGCGGGGCCTGACGATCTCGAGGCGTGGCTCATGGTCAATGGTGCTAGTTCTGTGGTCCAGGTCCGGGGGGCCGTTTGCAAGCGCAGAACGCTCCCCTGGTTCAGTGCGTTCTGGTTGAGCGTCCTGTGTTTCCGCTTCGTCCTTTCCCCAGTCGTCCTTTCCCCCCTCAGTGCGTTCACAAAAGTGGCAGCGCGCAATCGGAAAGAAATCTTGCGAACCTAGCTAAGCGCCCCCCCCCCCTCTTTGGAAATGGATGGGGGGGGGGAAGCTTCCGGAACGCGAAAATGAGGGGGGGGGGCTGAGGGCCGCCCCCTTTTTGGGAATGTACTACGGGCGCGCTCTGTCATCGGTACATCGTTACATCGGTACATATATATATATATATGTATGTACATCGGGCGCGCTCTGCATGTACATCGGTACATCGGTACATATATACTAGAACCACGCGCGCGCTTCGCGCGCGCTTAGGTTCTAGCTAGGATCGTCACCGTCGTCATCATGAACATCACCATCGCCATCATTCCCCCCGCCAGGGCTAATGTACATCGTTTCTGGATGCTTCTGGCCGGAATACGAAAGGAGTTTCTGTAGTTAGAGTCTCTGGGGGAAGTCGCGGGGAAGCTTTTGTTGTCTTTGGTGTTGCGTCGCCAGGAGGTCTGGGCTCCCTCCTCCTCGTGTTCCTACCTCCTCTCTGGACGTCCGATGTCGTGATGCTTTCTGTGCGCGGCCCCTGGACCTCTCGACGACTTCCTGGGGATGTGTTCTTTTTTCATCCTGAGTCGTTTTCTGACGGTCCCGGGACCCTGCGAGGGGCCCCGGAGGCCGAAAATTTACCGAAACCGCCGTCGTGATTTTTCCAAGACGTCGGAGGTCCAGGTCGTGCTTCCCGCCTCCCCAGACCTCCGACGTCGTAATTTTTGCGACCTCGGGCCCAGGAATCGATTGGGAAAACGCACATGGGAAGGCAAGAAATGATGGACCCATCATTTCGTACCTGTGCCTTGATCAGTGGGACGGGCTTCGCACCGCCGCACATCACAAGACACGCTCGAGCGGATCCAGCCGTGGCGACGTCGGGGACTGCAGAAGGTCGCAAGGACACGGAATCTGAAAGGAAGAAAGAGAAAGAGAGAGAAAGAGAGGGAGAGAGAGAGACAGACAGACAGAGAGCGAAGAGAGAGAGAGAGAGAGATGGAGAGAGAGAGAGAGAGAAGAAGACAGAGAGAGAGAGAGGCAGAGAGAGGAAATGGAGAGGAGGCGAGCTTGAGTCAACGAAAGTCGCAGGGAAGGGGGCAGGGGGAAGAAGGCCAGAGAGCGCTGAAGGATACAAATACTGGAACCCTCTTGGGATTTTTTGGGGGGCCTCGTCCGGCCGCTCGCTGGGAGTTTGACGTAGCTTCTTGGGAGCCTCTGAACCTGTCGGGGGCCTCCTGGAAGCAGGTTCGAAGCATTGTGGGGGCCGATTTGGGGCTTCTCGGGGCCTCCTTTGGGCCTCTTGGGGGTCTCCTGGGGCCTCTTGAGGGGCCTCCTTGGGGCCTCCTGGCGGCCTCTTGGGGCGGAAGGCTCGACCCTCTTGGGCCCGTCTTGGGGCCCTCTTGGGCCATCTTGGGCGCCTCTTGGGCCGTCTTGGGGCCCTCTTGGGCTGTCCTGGGGCCCTCTTGGAAGCTTCTTGGGCCGTCTTGGGGCGGTCTTGGGCGCCTCTTGGGCCGTCCTGTAACGTCGGAAAGCCCAAAAGACAACTTTGTTGAAAATGTACGTTTTACGAAGGGAATGGGCCAATTTTTGCGTCTAGGGGCCCTCTTGGGACGCATGTTGGAGGCTTCTTGGGGCCTCTTGGGGGCGTCCTTGGACGTCTGGAGGCCATCTTCAGCATCTCGGAGCCCTCTTGGAGGCCTCTTGGAAGTTTCTTGGGCCGTCTTGGGCGCTTCTGGGGCCGTCTTGTCTGACCGGGAAGGCCTCCGGCAAGCCCCGACGAGCCTCCGGGCCCCCCGGGGTGCACATTTGCGGTCGAGGTCCCGGCCCCGGGCCCCCGGACCCGGTGCGCCGTTATATGTATATATATACACATTCGTATATGTGCATGCTTACATACAAATGTATATCTGCATGCACATGCGTATGTTTGTGTACATGTGGATGCATGTCCATACACATGCACATGCATATGCATACGTACATGAGTATGTATATATGTACACATGTTTGAACATGTATACACTCATATATATATATATATATATATATAAGTTCATCTGTTTGTAATGCATGTGTAA